TTTTACTGTCCTCCTTAACATTCGGTGCCACGTTTTCCTACTTCAAAACATAAGTCCACAGATTTCACTACCTCGTGTAAAGGCTAATTTATGCTAAATATTTTATATATATATATATATGAAAACAACATGTACTCTTTATACATTTTATCTACCGTAGCCATGTTTGCAGTTGCTCAAAACTCACGACTCTACAGTGCCCTCTAGTGGATGTATTGCTTAAAGTATTTACTTTGTTTTGAATGAATCTCTTTCCGTACGAAATGGCAGCATAAATAAACCCACATCTGCCTAAATACATTTCACTCAAGAAATTGAGAAACTGGTCCATAAATTCATTCAGCTTCCAAAAATATTATTATTATATATAGAGAGAATTATTAATATGTTATAAAAATGGGCTTATATTCAATTATTCTGTATTACTCGTTTTGGCCAAAAAACATTAAAAAAAAAAGTCTGGGACATTTTTCACAACTGTGGAAGAAAGATGGATCAAATGGTCGTCTTATTTAAAAAAGCGATTACAACAAAACATTGCACTCAGAGGAGTCCTCTTTTACTGGGTGGGATTCTCTGGAGTCTGATGACTAAGTAGAAGGCTTGTTTCCAGCCGACTTTGAAAACCGCACAAGTAATCATAATAAATCAGACGGACTTTAGAGGCACAGCTTATTGCTGCTTCAAAGAGCTGAATACATGTATTAGTGCATGTGAGGGAAGAGTGGATTGAGAGTTGAAGAATAGAAATGACTGTATTTGCTTTACACGGTCCTGAGTGAGTTACGCAGTGGTTCTCTTGTGGTGGGGTACCGATGAAGGTTTTGGAGGAATATAGAAGCGAAGCACAACTTCATCTTCTGTCTTTGGAGAAAGAAAGAGAGAAAGTGTTTCTGTGATGTCCAAGAGAGAATTTGGGCATTTAGGCATTTAACAGTCCTCCTCGCCAAGTTTCGTTGACTGATCTCTGTGGATTGTCCATAAAAAAACACTATGAACATTTTCCTGGTAAATCCTGGATGTCTCTCATCTCACCGGTAAGACTCAGGAGTACGATGTCCGGGCTACTTTATTAAGATTGCAGTTACCGACTGACGCAAGGACGAGGCAACGAGGCAGGAAAGTGCGTCGATGGGTTGAGATCTCAGCTCCACGCGGAACTCTTCCTGTATGTTTGTCTGTGTTCATTTATGCATCTGATTGTCATGAATATTCAATAAGCGCAGTACAACCAGTAATTCACCGTGGGCTTACAGGAAGGTTTCAACTTGGCGGTGGACTAACATGACTGGAAGTGAGAAGATGGCAGGAAATAAAAGGTTCTAACAGAAATGGACCAAAACACAATATATAACAATATCAACAGGAAACATCCAACTGCTCACATTCACTACCGTCAATTCAGACACAGGAAGAACATGCAAACTTCACACAGAAAGGCAGAACCAGGATTCCGACCAAGAACCGAGGTGTAAGTGCCAACCGCTGCGCCACCACGCCGCCCTCTCAAAACCACCAAAAAATGGTAAAAGTAGGTTATATAATGATATCACTGTGAAATTGTTTAATTATTAACTGCTGGTGCCTTCGGGCTTTGCATTATTTACCGATTCGTGATGTTAAAGCTTCACGTAGAAACTCCCCAGTCAGTCTGCAGCAGTTAGAAGCGTAGATTCTTGTTTTTTCCGTTAGATATTTAATTCTGGTGCCCGTTTACTCCATTAGGGTTTAAAGAGCAGCCCATGTGTATGTGTTTGATGTCAGGAGTATGAGCTTTGAGATTAAGGCGGTTTGAGGTTCTGGACTGTATCTGCAGGTTTTTGAAGCCACAGTTGAAGCCAGGGCTTCTACAGTCAAAGGGTTTAGAGGAAGAGACCCTGACAGGTCGGTATATTAAAAAAATCTATGCGGTCAGTTTCTGAGATTATCTCTGACACAGTTACCTCTCAGTTACCTCTTTTCCCATTAGGGGACGGATACAAGTGAACTTCTGTGCTGTACATGGCTGGAACTTTAAATCGACTTCGACAGAATTTTTCTTACTAAATTAAACCAAATACCTTCCTGCTGCTGAGCTGTGTGCCGTCTTTAATCTAAATCTAAAGTGTTGACGGTATCTTTGTAGCTGCATGTTCGGTGTCGGTTCTCTTCTGATCTCATCGTCTTAGTTTGCCCTGAAAAACGAAGGACCCATTTCTAGACACTTGTGGTCTGAGCGTCTCTGGTTGTATCGGGAAACATCCTTTCAAACAGTGTGATAATAATCTCTGGGACTCGCCGGGGCTTGGTTATCTTTGTGCTATTTGTGCAGATTGTGATTTCGCAATCGCTACAGCAATAATGACAAGAGGGATTTACTTTTGCCTAATGAGCGCCACTGTTCTGTTAACATCAAGGACAAAGATGTGAAGTTGGAGGTAAGCCTATTACATCCTCTGCTGCATCCTCTTATTATCTCTAAATAGAGTTTGGACAGCTGATTATTACCACCATTTATATTCCACTCCTCAGCGATGGCAGTAATCCTTCCAAGATTACCCTAACTTGTGTTTAAATACAGTAAAGGAAACAGGAGTGCACAGCTCTTCAGCTTAAGTGTTCGGTGTCGCCTGAAGATTTTCTAATGCGCTTCTCTCATGTGATTAGTTTGTAATCACACAGCAAAACATGACACTTATTACAATTCATCATGAAAAGGGCAGGAGCTCAGTATAGGACTGATATTAATTATACATTCACCAGAGAAAACTCAAACCCCTACAGCTCTTGTACATTGTGCATATATATATATATATATATATATATATATCAGTGTTTTTAATTATGATCATCATCATAATTAATGGTATGTGTGTGTGTGTGTTTGTGTGTGTGTGGTTCTATAGTATGACCACAATGATGGAGCACATGAGCGAGTACTACAGCTATAGGATGAAACAAAGTACATTCTGTGGTACTTTCTTATATAAATAATGCATTGTGTTACATGTTCCCGTTGTGTTTTCATGATATTTAATGAACGTAAACTTCACTGTAACTGATGAGGTGTTTAAATTCGGAGAGTAATTAATTTGCTACTTGCTCGGAGCAGTGCGGTAACATGATGTGTGTGAAGCCTCTTCAGCAGACTGAGGCCTCATCCACATCAAATGTTGGAGAATAGAGAGATGTGTCACTGTGAATGAGAATGCGACGACTGTCAGCTCTTAATCAGCACATCGCCGCTCCGCTGCTCATCCAGCTGCGTTATTTCCAGCACTGTGATCATCGAGCAGTCCACTCCGTCTCCGCTCCGTATCTTTCACACCAGTGTGACATGAGAGATGTGGATTCTCCAAGAGATAATGAGCAAAAACTGCATCCACCACAGTCCAGACTCCAGTTAGACACGTACAGGAATTTGATGGCTGCTATTATTTAATTTATTTTTGATTTGCATTGCAAATGCGTCATCATTGTGGTTCACGAGATAATATTGTACAACCAGATGTTATTCAGTAAAATGTACATATCTGTAAACCCTGACGCTTAAATCATATCCTTTACCTCCATCTATCAGTCCACACACACTAGTAACACAAGAAGCTGTTTATCTGCACTTGGTTAGTTGCGGAAAATACTAAGAAAGAGAAACAACAAAGTTCATTTTCTTGGACCAATGACGAGGTGGACGTGTAATTGTCCAAATCAATATGATAAAAACTTCATCTTAAGCACTAGTATGTCACGACAGAAACATCTCGTCTTAAGTATTTTGTGTTGACATGAGTTCTTGTCCCAGCTGGTACGTTGGAGGTAAAAAAAATAATGCAGGATCATCCAGCAAGAAAAGCTGCAGGGCGAGATTACTCTGCGGACGAAGATAATTCAGTTGTTCCACATTAGAGTCGATTTATTCTGATTTACAATGTCACCTGATCAAGACATAGAAATACCAACTTAATAAATATCAAACAGGAGCCACGTGGCAGATCACGAAGAAAGATTACCCCATTTTTTAGGGCACGAATTTAATGCCATGAATTGATGACACCGCAGGCTGCGTGCAGACAGACACTGACAATACTTCAAGCTGATATCATCTCACCCCGGTGAAAATCTCTCAACATACATTTTTATGAAGAGAAAGAAAATCTGGTGTTGTAGGAGCAGAATATCTACAGGTAGACGTGAGGGTGGCCGGCTCTCCCCTCCGGAGAGCCAGGCTGATGTGGGGGGGAATGTTATTTCAGCAGTGAATGATGATTGACAGGCTCCGAGGAATGATAGGCATGCCTTATCTCTTTTTTTTTTAAACGGAGGGTAGAAGGGAAGAGAGGGAGCAAGAGGACTTGGTGAGTCTTCATAAGCAGCAAATGAGGCGCTGACACTTTCAGAATCATTTTTAACTGGCGGAGTCAACGAGCAAGCATGGCACCAGAGATAATACCAAATTGCATACATTTTAATGGGCTTGACAGCGAGGGATCACAGAGTATTAATCCATGGCTCTGCAGCGCCGTCCTGCTAATGTAGCTCTTTACCGAGCTATTATAACCTCACTCAGACACTGACAAATGGAAAATAAATGGGAGATAACTTGGGGTTTATGACAGGGACAGGGAGCATATGGTTGGGAATGGGGTTGCTTGTCATTAATATTACTGTCTGCACCGTAACAGGGTTTTAAAGCGTCTGAGGAATATAAACATGTTTTCCTGCCATTTTTCATTTAACTGAATACACCGTGCATCGTAATACATGCATGTATGTATCACATCTCTGAATCTACTATAAAACAGAAAGTGTACGAACAACATTAAACTCAGTTGGAGCTGTAGGATCCTAAATGCTGGTAAATGAGCAATCACCGTTGGCTAAGGCTAAATGCGAAGCTACAGGCTGTTGATAGTGCTAAGCAGCAAGCTAACGCTAAATGCACGCTACACAAACCGATAACAAAAGGCTACAATGCTCTTTAGCAAAGAACGTTCAGCACGAAGAAAATGAAACAAACTCACAGACGTTTTCTCTCCTGAACTTCAGGAACCAGGATTGAAAGAGATCCTCAGTGATGCTGCATGGCTGACAAACCAACAGACACAAGGAAGTGTCATCTATTTCCTGCTTCCTGCTTCCTATTTCCTGCTTCCTCTTCTTTTCTTAAAGTCCAGCAGATGGTGACGTCACACATTAACCCAAGCACAGGAAGTGAAATGGAAAATTCGTACGTTTCCTCTGGATTAACCTTCACACACAAGGAGCCACACGAGAAACTTAATCGGACCAAAGAGTAAATTTAAAAAAAAAAGAATAATCCGACCAAACGTTCGCTTCAAACTTTGTCTTCTTAAAACTACAGACACAACATCATTTATATTCAATACCCTGCGTTTGCTGACGAGACGTTTTTGTCAACAAGTGACTGATCAGACCTGAGCTGCAGAAGACGGAAGAAAAACATTTCATACCTCAGTAGAATTTGAAAGAGGATGTTCCTGCATCCAGAGCGTAGGAAGAATAAAAATTAATGAAGCAGAATCCTTCTATTTTGATCCAACTCAGAGCAAATCACACTTCCAATCTGCTGCCTGATTAATGTATGTTTTTATATATACAGTGTGTATTATTCATCAGTAAATGTTTACAAAGAAATTCATTAATAATGATTAATGAACATTTTCTGTTTTGGTGTTGACAGCTTTGTTTCCCCGAGTCACACTTGAATATTCAATATTATTGATGTATTTATTCCCAGTTTGCCTGGATTCAAAACTTAAAGGGGAAAAAAACAAAAGAGAGTTAAACAGACGATTAACACAGAAAAAAGAATGAGGGTTCACCGCAGTCACTACCCCCCCACCCCCACCCCTCTGCCGGCAGAAGCTAAAAGATGAAAATCTTCACTTGATGCCTGTTTTCAAAAACATTTTCCTAAAAGCGAGAGAAGAACTGAAAGAGAGAGAGAAAGAGAGAGAGAGAGAGTTCCATAAATACATGAAATCAAAGCTCAGCCTCCTGTGTTGCAGCGTAATCATAGATTATTAACATTTATATTGAAAGATGAAGCCCCATTAGGAAGCAGCTGGTAAATTACATTTGGTTGGGCCTGTTTTTGTGTGTGTGTGTGTGTGTGTGTTTGTTTGTGAGTCAAAGAGAAAGGTCTGGTTTATTGGAACATGGCAGACTCGACTCCTGTTAGCGAGTAGACATCAGCACCCAGGAGTCATTTACATGGAACTATTTATGATGCTGGATCTGCTGCGGAGAGAACGGCTGCCGACATGAATCTGATGGAACAAAGACGTCTTGTTGTGTCTCCGTGCGGAGCTGATGATGTGTTTGTGTAGTTTATTGTGTCGGTTCAGTTTCCCTGCAGAGGAGCATGTTGCATCTCTCAGGGTCACGCAGGCCCTTGTGATGTAGATGTGTGTGTGTGTGTGTGTGTGTGTGTTTGTTCTGCGAGGCTCCGGTTCTCAGGTGACTTTGTAATTGATTTGATTCCGAGCTGCTTTGAATGCAGAGAATATTTTCCGTCCTTTTCCCCCGAAGGACATAAGATGCTTCAGGAAGCTGCTGTCACTCGCACGGTCTTCGGTTCGTCTGCAGATCAAATTTCACAAGTTCTAAAACAAAACCGCACACAGCACATACGAGTGATGTTTTTCAGGTTTTACCTTCTGTCCATTCTCGTGAACACGACATCTTAAGAACAACTTATGGGTATTTTATTTTTAGTGGAAAGTTTCACTATGACTCACAGGTGAACTGATTACAATTTGTAATTTGAAGGTCAAAGGTCAAGGTCGCGGTGACCTCACAAACCACTTTTTTTTACCTTGTGACTGGGATATCTCAGGAACACCGGCGGGGAATCCTTGGTGACTTGGTTCGGATTCATTCACGCGGACTCAAAGATGAACTGATTAGATTCCAGTGGTCAAAGGTTAAAGGTCACAGTGAGTCCGGAAATAAAAATGCACGTATAGACGGTAACTGTGGTATTTCTAGTTTGCAGTTGACAACATCTGTACGACTCGGTGACCACGTCATCATGACTGTTTGGTCATAGTCACTTACATTCCAACAGATGCACACCCTCTGTTGTCGGGAGCAGACAGAATCACTGTCGCGTTTCGTGCGGCGACGACAACGACGTTTAGCAGCGGAGGATGATTTAAGCATTAATTACGCCGTCGAACATTTCTCCAGAGGAAGCTCGGCTTGGAGAGAGCAGAGTTGCTGACAGTCTCTGTCGCCTCTGTTGCTAAATTCCTCTGAACCCCCCCCGCCCCCCCAGGCAGACAGCAGACTAAGCTTTTAACAGAATTCAATAATTATCCCAACAGTGTGACTTGGTGTGTCCTCTGCCCTGTCTGGCTGTCAGTCACTTTAATTACTCTTGTTGTAAAACCCATCAACCCCCAACCAAGTCTGCACACCAGGGCCCAGCCACGTTCAATACTGGACCGATCGGAGCAGTGTCTGTGAAAAAGCATTTTCTTCAGCTCCGCTCACCCAGAAAACCTTATTGGTTGGTGGGTTGACAGGTGGTCGAGTGGCAGCGAGCCAGCAGCTACGTTTACAACCGTGTCTTCTGTTCAGTGGATCTTATGTCCTGAGAGGAGAGTTCATGTCCAAGCTCAAACATCAGACAATCTCATGTTGATATGTTCTTTAAATTTGATCATCCAGGCTCAAAACCAAAAAAAATAAATAAAAGCTCAACTTGAATTGAAAGGAAAATTAAAATCTATTTATGTGTAATTCAGTATTTGGTGACAGGTTCACCATTGTTGTACCTGAAAGGCAAATTAAACAGGAAGACAATAAATCTTTTAAAGCCAGGGGAAGAAAAAAAATCATATTTGGGAGGAATTCAATGGTAAATTTGCAGTGAAATCCTTTTTGTTTCCTGTGAACAAACGCAGACTTAATTAAACACAGCCTATTTTTTTTTTTTTGATTAGATAATTGATCAAAACAAAGAGAACTCTTCTCAGAAGATGAGATTTCACTATCAAACACTGGACCCCCCTGTCGGCTGTTGTTTGCCTGGATTTCACTGATTCCCAGGTTCAAGAGCAAGAAACAATATCACATCATCCACCGGTGCGTTTTAAAAATTCTTCTGCAGAACAAGCTTCTTCTCCAACGTCTGGGTTTGTTTTTTAAGACAAAACTGTTAATCTGGTGGGTTTGAGTGGAGCAGTCCTTTAAAATACGTCAATCCTTGATTGATCAATAGAAACAACAGAGGACCATCAGATCAGGATCAGACCAAACAATGGAAACAGCTTCTATGTGTAACTGTGATAAAGGTTCTGAGTATGACCAGTGTGACAACGGTAATATTTGATGTGACACTATTGTTTATTTCATTTCCCTGCATAGATCACACACACACACACACACACACACACACCACAGATGGGTTGGATCCCATTTTCAGATCAGCAGATGGTGTGTGTGTCTGTGTGTGTGTGAGTGTGTGTGTGTGTGTGTGTGTGTGTGTATTTGGTTACATGCTCTCTCCTTGCATTTCAAATTTCATTTCTGTATAATGTCTCGATCAACACACTGTAATTCAAGTTGTGATGGTTTCCACAAGAGCCACATGCTGCTACTGTAAATCGACACGTTGCCCCGAGTGTGTGTGTGTTTGTGTGTGTGTGTGTGGTAGAATATGGATGCGTCTCTCTCCTCTCCGCATCCTCTTCATGCATACATTTCCAGGGTCTGACGGCAGCGAAGTGGTTATTTACCGTGTCTTGAGCAGAGAGAGGGATGAGGGGGGGGGGGCAGCACTCTTGAGTGTGTGCGTTTACACGCGTGTGCATCTTATCTTTGGTGGTCTGCACGTAAAGCAGGACGACAGGAGTCGACTTTGAAGTGTCTGTGTGTGATGTCGTGTCTCGTTCTCTTTCTCTGCGAGGACTTCGCTCGGCTTTGACTTAATTTTGTGCCACAGTAGCTGCGACAGATTCGAATCCCAATCTGCATACGTGAATGTTAAACAACTGCACTTTACCAAAGCGTTCCCGGGGGGGGAGAGGAATTTTCAGTTTTGAATAAAAAGCATTAAATGAAAAAGGAAGAGATGAAAATAATATGATTCCTTCTTTCAAATCCGCAAAATGTGTGGGGCGTCACTCAGCGGGTCGGACCACGGGAACATGTTTTGGAAGCAGTGCAGTGTGGGAGGTTGAATGAGAGCCGTCACAGGGTGGAAAAAGTGACATGAGATCACAGCGTGTGCACAGCGAGGAGCGAAAAAAGGGGGAAAAAGGGAGCGACAGCCAGAGCAGCAACGGAAATGTACATGTGGACTCAATGAATGAGATAAAAACAACTTCTATTCTTTGTTTCGGAGCGGTGAAAGGATTCCTCCGGGGGACGAGATGAGAAGAAGAACAGAACTCCAGTTGGTTTTCTTACTTGAAAGTCAATTGATTATTTGAAAACACTCCCGGTGAGAACGAGGAAACCTCAGGAGAGAAACCACACGGAAGCAAAAAAGTAAAAAACCAAACCCACGACCTCTCTCTGTGGAGTTGTCAGGTTGATGTTTGTCACTGGATGTGGTTATCTCTTCATCCTGAGTCTTCCCTTTTCACACACTTTTTCACTTTCATTTATTCATGTGAGACTGAAGATGTGGTCACAGCTGTCAGGGTCATCATCACCGGGTATGTCAGGGCGTGTGTCCTGGCAGGACGCTGGGGAACGACATGTCAGCACTGCTGTCGTGTGATCGCCTCTTTTTTTTAAATCCTCACTCGCCGAGGAGGTCACGTTTTCATGCGTTTGTCGGTGGAGCAGGATTATGCAAAAACGACTAAACGGATTACCACAAAACTTCTGCAATACGGGCAAAGAAGGAACCGGTTAAAAGAAAAGGAAGAACTCAGATAAAGAAGCAGATCCCCACCTTTTATTTAAGATTTCTAGATTTGTTCTTTCTCATTGATTTCCCAGGGAACAACTCATGGATCTTGATTAAGAAAAACACATTTAGGGAACTGACATCTGTGTTGATGCAGCTTGATTGAACTCAATGGGACTGTTGGGCCTATTAATCTGAGTCCTGTGCTATTTTAATGAGTTTGTTTACAGGATTACACAA